TAGCTCTCGAAGGGGCTTTAGAAGTCATATTGACACATGTACAAATTCCACTCTCTGCGGTTATTCATGCTCCCTTAGTTGGTGGTCTTGACTCACTGCTTCCAAGGCCCATCTATTAAGCTAAACCCTCCACTCCTGTGTTAATGCCACCATTCTCACCCCAGAGAGCACCTCGGCATGGAAAACTACACCTATCTATGTTCATTCTAAAAAGAAAATATGTCTGAGTTAACTGAGCTCAAATCTAAGAGTTATGGATTCCTACCTCATCCATGTTACCGCACAGTGTGTTTCCTTTCTTTGTTTAGTCTGCTTACTGGCTATCTCTTCCCCATCTCTTCATTTCTACACTACTCATGTGTAGTCCAAATTCCCTCTCCTCATCTCTCAGCCATTACCTTTTTGGATAATAAACAGTTGGAGGCAATACACTCATGCAATGTCATCTATGTTCTGTGTTCTTCCTCAGAAAGACTCCCATTTGTGAGCTTCTTTTTCAACCTAGGCTACATTTTGCATTTGTCTGTGTTTCATGATAACAATGGAAAGGAAGAAGGGAGAGTTGTATCCATTTGAGAGGGGCTATGCAATTTATGAGATAATTTTTTTTAGCTGCAAAAGACAATGTTAGCAAGTCACAAAAACTGCTGTTCATAGATATGATATGTGCACTTGCCCATCAAAGAATGCATTGCCATTCACCGACCATGTCATGAGAAAACTGATGTTAGGAGTATTGTGTGGAACAAAATTAAAAAAAGAAAATGCTTTTAGTAAAGCAGAATAAACAATGCTATGATTTGATCTTTCTTTTTCTGCTAGCAGAAGTGTATCTTAGAAACTCTTGATTCAAAAATGTATGTAGGCTTAAATGGCTTAGAAAACAAATCTGATTCTTATATCTTCTTTGCTTCTCTTATTAATAATTAAATAATCTAAGTAAAATAAGCCAGACACAAAAGACAAATATTGTATAAGCCTACTTATATGAGGTACTTAGAGTAGTCAAATTCATAGAGACAGAAAATAGACTGGTGGGTACCAGGGACTGGGTGGGGGGAAGTAGGTATGGAAAGTTATAACTTAATGAATACAGAGCTTCTGTTTAGGAAGATGAAAAAAGTTCTGGAAATGGATAGTGGGGATGATTGTACAATATTGTGAATATACTTAATGTTACTGAATTGTACCTTTAAAAATGGTTAAAGTGGTAAATTTTATGTATTTTTATAACAATAAAAATGTGTAAAAATATTGAATCATGTGTTTTGTTCATTAGGGTTCAATATTGCTTTTGTAGATGTAAGGTTCAACTAGAATGATACAAGGAGCATGCTTTGAGAAATTGTAGCACATGGGTAGAAATGCAAACAGTGGCAGTGTCACTTCATTCTCACTGTAGGAAGGGCCCAAGAGTACATTTAGTCTTTTAGGTACATTTGACTTCTTTTTAGTCATCTCTTACTGAACTTAACTTCTGAATATCTGAGTCTGGGAAGCCTAAGTTCACAAAACTAATTTAAAAGACAGTAGCCCTTCCTTATCCTGGGGGATACATTTCAAGACCACCCCCCAATGATTGCCTGAAACCATGGATAGCACCAAACTCTATATATGCTATGCCTTTTCCTATACATGTGTACCTATGGTAAAATTCAATTTACAAATAAGGCACAGTAAGAGATTACCAACAATTAACTAATAATAAAAAAGAACAATTATTATAATATACTGTAATAAAAGTTATGTGAATGTGGTCTCTCTCTCTCTCAAAATATCTTATTGTACTGCCCTCCCCCTTCCTCCTTTAACAATGTGAGATGATAAAATGCCAATGTGCTGAGATGGGGTGAGGTGCCTGAGGTAGGCATAGCGTTAGGCTACTGCTGGTTTTCTTATGACTGTCAAAGGTGGATTATCTGCTTCTAGAAGGAGGTTGACTGGGGGTAACTGAAACTGGAATGCAAAACCTTGGATAAGGGGCAACTATTGTAATAATAACCCAACAGTAACACTTACTGAGTACATATTAAGCACAGGCTTAAGTGTCAGATTATGATCTAGGTCAAGAAAAACGTCTTAGGCAGATTTACAAACAGCTAATATTAATTTACTTTCCCCAACTCTTAAAGCCCCACACATCCCATTTCAGAATTAAGAAAACAACCTTTATTTCTCTTCATACTAAAGAAAATGTCAGCCAATAATATTTGTAAAACTCACAATGCAGCTGAAAGGGCCATGTATTGTGAAGTGGAAATTTTGGGAGAGGCTATAGTTCAACCCATAAAAATTTCACATGAATAAAGCTTGCAGGTATAGACACTTTTATTTAGAAAGCCTATTCTCTTAGAAAGACTCTGGTTCAATTATCATGATGGGGATAATAATACATAAAAACAACAGGTCAAAACTGACCATAAATCTACCTCAAAGCAATACCCCTTCTGGTATCTCTCAAGTAGTTGGGTTAATGTAGCATAAGAGAAAGCTTGACTAGCAGGTATAATTAAAGCATGAATCACAGGGATCAGTCGTGAGTAACCCTCAAAGCACCTTCAAGAGAAAGGTCCATTATAACAGACCAAAGTTTAGAGACTAAAGGATGAAGGTTAAAAGGAAAAATCCTAGTACTACGCACATGCAATGATGGGCCTGAGTGGAAACACATTATTATTGGTGCATTATAGGTGCAGCATGTGTGTGAGGCTCATAACAATAGCATATTGTGCCCCACGTGATATGAGTACTCATTCTCTGTTTTCTATTCTGAGAATCGCCAGAGTCAGGTACTACATTGTGCTTGGTCTGTCTTCCATATAAATAACTTTTCTGCCCACATCCTAGCAGACAGTAGTTACAAAATATGCAATTACATACATGAATAGTGAAATGGTAACCCATATCTTATAATCTAGAGTAAATGTGTCCTGGCATGTAAGGCTTTTCAAGAAAAATGAAAATTGACCTCCAACATATTAAATGCTACTTACCAAAGACCATTGATGCATTTTGAAAGAATTAATCACAGGACTTTTATTTAATGAAAAACAGGAAGAGATTGTTATATTTTATCCTGTTTCATATCTCAGCAATTGGCATTGGATTTAGTTGCTTGGAACAGCAACATGGCAAAGGTTGAAAGGAAATTACTTGTTGGCCTGACTGGTTCTGTGTCTTTCAGGTTATGTGATGAAGAGATGTAAAATCACCTCAGGTGAAAAATAACCCTACTGCTGCTTCTGTCACTCCATTAACTCGCAAATGACATTATTTCCCCCCATCCCGCCCCACCCGACCTACCCAGATGAGGAGTATTTAAATGACAGACACAAATTAGACTATTGGAGTTAAAATGAATCGAATGGTGATTGGCCATTCTGCCAATATTTTGAGGTCTAATGATATAAATATGTAGATGAAGGTTTTTAAGTTCAATTTCTTGGCTCAGAAGAATTTAAATCAAAGCCGTCAAATATACTGTTTACATCATCTTATCCGTCTTAAGCTTAAGGTTTGCATACTATTTTTAATATTCATGTGTACTTTTTTTTTTAAACCATTTAAAACTAAAAGTCTTGAGTCTCTGAAACTTAATTGGGAAAAATGTAAAGCACATTAATGGAATTTTTCCCATGATCTGTAGAAGAGTTTTTTAACAGATGGTTCAAATGGACAAAGCAATGAAAACACAGAAATTAAAAGCAGATCCTTAAGAAAAATGACTGAGTTCTCAGAAATCCTATACATGATGTCAGGACTAGATGTAAAGAGGCAGTTTCTGTTGCTGTCAAGGAGAACAGAAATTTATTAGGTGATCCTCTATTCGAAGAGGGGTAACTGCCCCTTAGTATGAATTAGCTATTCATTTGGAACTCCAGCCAACTTCAACAACTGGAAAATCTCCACGCCTGTAGGGCAATTCCATCCAGGTGCAGATAAAAGTCATAGTATTGTGATTCAAATAGATATTCTTGCAGGACTAGTAACACCCAAATCCGAGGTGCCTGTTTGGGGGTGGGGATGCTGTAAAATCTTGTCACCTTTACGGCAGCTTGGAAAAACAACAGTGCAAGGCCTATCTATGAAGGTTTTCGTTTTTTAAAATATAAAAACCCTGCCTTTCCTGGATCAACGCAGTGAGCCGGGGGAAAGACAGGGGAAACTTTTCAACCTGGAATTTACATGCGTTCAGTGGAGACGTGCGAAGGAATGTCTAAACTAACGCGAGAAAGCAGCATCTCCTGAACAGCCTTCCACACCGTGGTATCAAACTTGAGGGAAAGTTAACTTGGGTTTCTCTCCCAGACAATTCTAAGTAGTGGGTGGGGAGGCGGACCTGGAGAGCTTGGGTCCTTTTGCAGACTGGGGACCCCAGGGTGCCGTCCGGGGCTGGAAGGAGCCAGAGGCGCGGGCCGGGCAGGAGCGCAGCCCGGGCAGCCCCGCGCCGGGAGGGGAGAGGCGGGGCGGGGCCGGGAGGGCACGCGGGAGAGGGGCGGTGGCGCGCGGGGAGCGCGGAGGCGGGGGGAGGGTCTCGGAGGCGGGGGGAGGGTCTCCGAGCCCGCGCCCGAGCGGCGAGCGCTCTGAGCCTGCGTCCACCGAGGGGGAGGGTTTCCCCGGCCGGCCCGGAGTGGCTGCTGTGCGCCTCTGGCTCACGGCGCACACGACTGTCAAGAGAGCCGGGGAACGGAGCTGCCGGAAGTCCGTGCGCGCCGCGGGAGAACTTTCCTGCTCCGGCTCGGCCCGGAGCCCCCGCCGCCCGTGCGCGCAGCACGATGCGCGCTGAGCACAACGGCCGGAGCGGACCCGCGCCTCGGCCCAGCGCCCGTGTCTGCGCCCTCGCCGCTGGGGACGAGGACTGAGCCCGGAGGCGTCCGCGCGCCGTGGCGCGGGGGCCCGTTCCCTCCGCACCGCCCGCCTCGTCCCCGCGCCGTCCCCGCGATCGCGCGTTCCCAGCGCCGGCCGCGGGCGCCGGCTGTCCGCGCGCTGACTGCCGGCCGGGACGTGCCGCCTGCGGCTGGCAGCGCCTGTGCCATGGGGCTACCTACGCTGGAGTTCAGCGACTCCTACTTGGACAGCCCGGATTTCAGGGAACGCCTGCAGTGTCATGAGATTGAGCTGGAGCGAACCAACAAGTTCATCAAAGAGCTCATTAAGGACGGCTCTCTGCTCATCGGGGCGCTGAGGAGTAAGTGCGAGCAGCGGGGCCGGGGAGGAGGGCGCGGGCATCCGGAGGGACCCGCCGCGCTGCGGGTCTCAGAGGTGGGACGGGGCGGACGGAGCTTCTTTTGTTTGAATGGGTTTGGGGACAAAAGCTGAAGAGCACCCCTGCTGGTGGCCAACAAAGTTTATTCTTAGGTGTCTTTACTTCCACGTCTACGGAGAAGGGAAAGTTCTCTATCGGACGCTGGAATATACATCCTGAGGAAAGTCGATCAGTCATCATTTTGTATAACGCTCCTAGAAAAATGTTGGTCTGTCCTTGCAATTTCACTGTGGCTAGTTTGAACACTTAAACAAGAAGTCCTTAAGGATAAAATAAAGCTAGTTTATTTAGAGATATTCAAAGAAAATGATTTTCTAGGTACATCAGGGGCTCTTGATTGGGCACAGTCATTCAGTTGGCTTTAAAAAAATAACATTTTTAGTTTGGCATTTGGTAAAATGACCAAAGACAGCACAGCACCAGTGGATTTTTATTTCTCTTCACGTTCTTTTGTACTCTTAACTTTTGGTTTGCATTGTAAATCTGTTGGCGTTGGGATGAAAGTTCAGTGGCTAAAGGCCAATCAGAATTTGATCTACAGAAAGTAAAGACTGCCTTTAGGGGCTTTTCCCACCTCCTTTCCCACACACCTCTTGGTCGATTATCTTTACTCCTTGTGTAATCTCTATCTTCACTTTCAGTTATTTAGACCTAGTCTTAGTACTAGAACCTACAGAGTTTGTCTTACAGAGAACTGAGTGACCTAAATGATAAGGCTTAATTTGTTACTTCTCCCAGAATGTATTTGCATCTTAATAGAGACTTCTGAGTGTTTTAGCTCCTGATAGGAAACTCTGGAATTTCTGGCTTCTGATGGCTGGGTGAGTGAGGTCCTTTCACAGGGTGGAGAAACGTTCAGGTGATGTAGCAGGACACATGTAGCAGGGTGATCCCAGAATAAATGTAGGGGAAGCATCATTGTATATGTCAAGTGCAAGGTCAGTAAGAACGTGATGGGGATGTGCCTGTGTCTGAAATTGAAATATTAGCATCTGATTTGTATTTTGAAGTATGTATTAATGGTGAGGATGGAGCTTAGCAAAATGTGTTGGAATTTGTGTGCTCCCAAATCCTTTTATATTTCAGCCATCCAAATGCTAAAACATCTACTTGTCACTTGTGTTACTTAACCAGGGTAAGGAAATGTTTTATGCCCACATTTACTTAATTTCTGAATCTGAGGCTACTGCTGATACCAGTATTCCTTGATTTTTGAAAAAAATATAGTTCATCTGAAGTTCTTTCCAGCCTATGTGTGCATAAATGTGAAATCTCCTGGTTAGCAAATCCTGGCTGAGGTCTCAGGACTAGCCTCTGCATCTTAGAGAGCTTGATGCCTCTTTAAAATGAGTTCCTTATCCCAGAGTGCTAAATGCCAAGCCGCATCTTGCTGGAACTGCCAGGTGGTTTACAAATGACGTTTTCTGCTCATTCTGCTGGAGTTAATTTTAGTGTTTGAAAAGTCGAAAGCACTTAACATAGTTGTGATAAAAGCCCAGAAATGTACATTATTTTACTAGCAATATTATGGAATTTATTATGATTTTTAAATCTGGCCTTGTGAAAATTCCCATCCTTATAGGTTTGTTCTTCCACTCCAAAATCTTGAGGGTAAAATTTTTTGAATGTATAGACTCTTGCCTCATTAATTTGGCCTCCTGCACTTAAATATACAGCCTGCTATCTTTCTAGGATTTTTTGGTTTTTCGTGATGAGAGTACATTAGTTGCCACTAACATTTGACTATTCTTTCACTGTGGAAGGAAAATGTTTTATTCTTTTTTAAAAGATTTCCCAGCATCATCTGCCAAATGGGAGAGATTTGGAGCAGAGGAACCTTTGAAGTCACATGACATGCTGTTGCTTTCTATTTCCCACCAAGCCACCTCTGTCCCTTGGGGAGTATGTTCTGAGTTTAGGCTGCAGCTGCTAAATGCCTGCCCTCTGAAGCTGCTCCCACAGGAGGTAGGAGTGTGTCTGAAGGACTTGGAACCTGCTTACTTTTAGTCCAGATTCCCCAGTCCTGCTCCTTCGTACTATTTTAACTTTTTGCCCAAGGAAGCATTCACCTTCCCCAATTTTAAACTATACATTTCCATTCTCTATACCTCCTGTTTCCTTAAGTGTATCCATTATCCATTTCAGTTTTATTTTTAGCGCTTTGCTGTTATTTCTATTAATAATTACTGGTTTCTTAATATATAACCTTCCTGAGTGGCAATCATTGGTGCCCTTCTAAGCATCTTATATTTTTTCCATCCTAGTTAGTAACTATTCTAGTGGAAGTTTTGGCATGTAAGACATACATGACTATTCTAGTAGGAGTCACATATGCTCCTTGATCTTTGGTTCAGAATGTAGGTTTCTTTAATAGAGTAGCTGGAAATGTCTTTATCAATGAAGACCTTGACTAGATTATTTCAATTTTAAATAATATATGTAAGATTCTTAACATTGTTAAAATGAATTATTGCATTGCAAAGGCACATCCACTCTGAGAAAATGGCTGACAATTATAAGCATACTGACAGAGACCTGAATTTAAATTCTAATGTTGTCAAATGCAGTGTGCTAAGTGGCAAGTAACTTACTTAGCCCCTCTGGATCCTACTTTTCCCGTAAAATGAGGGAACGGCTATAAAAACATCAAAGTCAGTTTGTTCATTTGGTTTCATGTCATGTAGATATTTGGTGAGTGCTATTTGAGATGATTTGATACTGGTGAATTGACTTTCAGTTCATGCTGTATGACTGAAAATCCCATCTTTTTCATCAATTGTTATTCTGTGGACTTTGCTCCTTTAACAGATACCTGTCTTAAAATTTGAGTAGATAAATCAGAGGTTAGTTTTACTAATTAATTTTCTGCTTTAATGGATCATTTAAAGAAACATTTCAAAATGGCTTTCATATATAATAATCCTTTATCTTTTTACTTTTGAATTCAAAGAACCGTCTTTAAGTAGAGCTTTACACTTGTAAGAATCAACAAACATCCCCTCCCCACCCAAAAAAAAGGATAGACAGAAATGGAAGTGTCCACATTGCACTGAGTTGATCAGGTGGGGAGAGCCTATCAACATCTTTTACTCGCTTTACCCTGCAGCCTGCAGCTTTCGGCCATTCTCCCTTTCTTATCACCGGCTCCTTCCGCTTATTGCCTTAAGGTAGAATTGGCCACCTATTTACTCTGACTTTAGGATAGTGTTTCTCAAACTTGGGTGTCTGGGCTTCCTTTAAAGGAAAGAAAAAGTGGACTCTAAAGGTTTAATTATTTATTGGTAGTTAAGTAAATATATACAAGCATGAAAATATAATTCTTATGCTTATTCTACAATCTTAAAAGCAAATGACTTTACAAGTTAAAAATAAATAAATCAGTGAAACCAATAAAAAACTTGCCAACTACGTTTAATTAACCCAATGGATGATGTTATTTTGCTGGAAAGGAATTTCCTCTTATATAAAGATGGCTGATAATACCCTTGTGTGTTCTATGGTTCATTTTCTCACTGTTTTTCCCAGTTGCAGCTGCAGTTCTTCAAAATCTCCTTGCCCTATTGATGGTCTCCTCTCTATCACGAACTTCATTTACTTATTGGTCTTATTGCCTTTGTGGTTAAAGCAGTAGTTTCCTGGCACTAATGATCTATGACACAAATAAGGGCACCTATGTGAGTGGTACAAGTTTTTTGCTTGTAAGTTGGTGCAAAAAATGCAGTTAAGACATTAGGAAGAAGGAAACACACACTTTTCTTCAAGACTTTCTTAAATGTCTCTCCTCAGTGTCCACAGACCTCAGTTTGTGGAACAGTGCTGTGGTGCACTTGTGTTCTCGGGTTTAAGTAACCCCACTGTGCTCCATACACTCACTGTAGCCTGGTTTCACTAGGTGTTCCACTGTAAACCCGTCTCTCTTTTGTGTGAATGTTCGGGGCCCACTTTACTTCCAGAATTTTTGGTGGTACAGGGGAGGGGTTAAATAAAAGGGAGGAAATAAAGACAAGAAATTTGAGACTTTTTATAGTTACTGTCATCCTTCAGTTTTTATGAGTACTGCTATTTTAGGCTATTTTTGGTATTTAAATTTGCATGTTTTATTTAGTTGAAGATTCTCATTCTCCGGGCGAGAACTGCCTCACTGCTGCTTATTCACCTAAGGTGCCGTGCTTGTTTAGCTGGGCGGCCTAATCAAAGGTGTAGAGCCATTCATTTGGTTCTTACAGTCATTAGAATTTGAGTTAAATGAGCAGGAGTATCTTTTAAATGAACTGTAGTTAATTTTAGGAACCGGTAGATTAAGAACGTGGAGCTTTAAGGTTCTGCTTCAGAGACATGTTACAAGTAAAAGCAGTTATATTTGTGTTAATTTAAATGGGAGTTTTGGCTCTCATCAAGGAATTAGCCAAGAAAACTCTGGCTAGTTACTTCCATTTATCTCTCTTCTGAATATTTAACGTGAATGTAATAGGTGCCCTTATACACTGCCTGTATTTCCATTGAATTTCCTTTTTCAGCAGGTAGTGATTGAGAGGTTGTCCTGTTTAAAAGCCAGGAAAACTTTTTTGGGAGAATAGAAAATGGTCCTTTTTTAGTGGAGGAGGATGGCTTAGCGCTGATCACCTCTTTGCTTGCCGTCTGTGACAGTTACGACCAGGGTACTCGGAGAAGGCAGAAAACTCAGGGGACCACCGAGGTTTCAAGTCGCTGAAAGCCGCTTTAACAAACACCTTTCAATTATTAACATTTCATAGAGTATAATGTTAATTGTGGTAATGATGAAACTTCAGCATTCCTGAGATTATAAAGAAAAAAATAATAGTAAAGCCCACATTCAGTAATGCTTTGGCATCAAGTGCAATTTTATTCAAATAATGAATAGAGAACAGCAGACCTTTAGGTTTGTAAAGAGAAATATTAGA